GTTGTCCCTGTGGAGGGGTAGGGGGCATCTGTGGGGGTATAGGTGGTATCTATAGCGTGTGAGGGTGCACCTATGGGGTCTTAGCGTCGCCTATGGGTGCCAGTGCATGTGCAGGAGCTGCGGGGGGCACTGTCAGTATCTAGAGGGAGTTAAGGAGTATCTATAGGGGGATCTATAGGGGGTTAAGGAGGTACCTATAGGGATATCTATAGGGGTGTCTATAGGGGTACCTATAGGGGTACTTATCGAGGCCGTTGCAGGTACAGGAGCTGGGCTGGGCTCTGTCAGTATCTATAGGAGTACCTATAGGGGTATCTATAGTGGTATCTATATGGGTACCTATAGAGGTATTTATGGGGCTAATTATAGGGGTATCTATAGCGGTACCTGTACAGGTATCTATGGGGGCACCTATGGTAGTACCTGTGGGGGTATCTATAGGAGTACCTATAGGGGTACCTACAGGGGTACCTATAGGTGTACCTATGGGGTATCTATGAGGGTACCTATAGGAGTACCTATGGGCGTATCTATAGGGGTAGCTATAGGGGTATCTATAGGGGTACCTATGAGGGTACCTATGGGGGTATCTATGGGGGTATGTATAGGAGTACCTATGGGGGTACCTATAGGGGTATCTATAGGGGTATCTATGGGGGTACCTATACGGGTACCTATATGGGTACCTATGGCAGTACCTATAGGGGTACCTATGGGGGTACCTATTGGGGCCGTTGCAGGTGCAGGAGCTGGGCCGGGTCATAGTGCCCAAAGTCTTAGTTGTGCATCACTTTGAAATCACTGTTCCCAACTAAACACCAAATGCTGCTACCACATAAAAGCAGTTATTTCTTTGGCTGTCTAGTCCTGCCTCTCAGTCTGGCCTCTCACAGCCACCAAACCTGTCTGGTATGTGCCCAGTGCCATCTACACTGCTCAGCTGGCCCCTGTGCATGGGTCTGTACCTAGCCTGGTGTCTATCCACTACTGAAATCTTACCTATGGGGGTATGTATAGGAGTACCTATGGGGGTATCTATAGGGGTACCTATACGGGTACCTATAGGGGTACCTATGGGGGTACCTATGGCGGTACCTATAGGGGTACCTATGGGGGTACCTATGGCGGTACCTATAGGGGTACCTATGGGGGTACCTATGGCGGTACCTATAGGGGTACCTATAGCGGTACCTATGGCGGTACCTATGGCGGTACCTATAGGGGTACCTATGGGGGTACCTATATGGGTACCTATATGGGTACCTATGGCGGTATCTAGGGGGGTACCTATATGGGTACCTATAGTGGTACCTGTAGGGGTACCTATAGGGATACCTATAACGGTACCTATGGCGGTACCTATGGACGTACCTATAGCTGTACCTATGGCTATATGGGTACCTATGGCGGTATCTAGGGGGGTACCTATATGGGTACCTATAGTGGTACCTGTAGGGGTACCTATAGGGATACCTATAACGGTACCTATGGCGGTACCTATGGACGTACCTATAGCTGTACCTATGG